TTTCCAATTTACAAGATTTAAATTAAGATATGAAAATAATAATTTTCCTTATCTATAGTTCCCAATTTTGTTGCATGCAATTATTACTAATAGTTGCTAACACTAAATTTGTAATTAATTAAATTTCAAAAAATATCTCAATTAGATAATAATTAATTTGAAATGTTTTAGCAAACATCTCATTATTTAAATCATCAAAACATTCTTTTTTTTTTGTATTTTTGAATGGGAAAAAAAATGTGATTAAACATGAAAATTCAGAAATAGTAATAAATTTATAAAAATCAGAAATAGTAATAAATTTATAAAAATCAGAAATAGTAATAAATTTATAAAAATCAGAAATAGTAATAAATTTATTATCTAATACATTTATTTCCAGGTATTTTCTAATTCATAACTTCTTACGATCCTGTTGTTGCCAAATAAATTAGGTTACTTATATTAACATTAACCATTATTGGCGGGGGGAAAAAAAACATACTTCAAAATCCTCATGCATACCAAAACCATGACAATAAAATGGCTTTCCATTTATGAAAGTTTGATGCCCCGAAATATTTACGGTCCGGAAACCAAACCATAAACGATATACATCGATTAAAATACCTGACATTGCTAATTGAACCTGGAAATTTATTTTAATCTCTACTAATTGTGTTTGCTTTATTTCATTATATTAATTGCATTCTTCTTTCTTTTTTTTTCCCATTCCCAATTCAATTGATTTATTTGAAAATAGTAATATTAGATGAAAAATTAGTTAAATTTTATACACATTTCCACGAAATGTAAATCCAAATTCAATTCAAAATTCCAATTCCAAATTCAAAATTCAAAATTCCAATTCAATTTTATCCATCTCTTGAAGTAATAAATGACAATATTACCACTGTATTTTTAGGAAATTTACTTCAACTAAAAGTATTATAATCTATGATATGTTAGAATAAAAAAAAAAAAAAATTATGATGCCTAGCCATTACAGTACTAGTATTTTACCATAAATTTATACAATACAGGAGCTCCCATATCCCGAGGCCACCATGGCTGGATATTATCGATACGACCAGTGTAATGATATTGATTACTTTCAAATATCACTGTATCATTTCTATCCATTACGGTAATTTGAATTGTTACTAAATCAGTGTTCGGTACAACATGTACTTTGTAACCGAAAGATCCTGCAATTTATCATCATGAGGCGAGAAATAATTAATACTAAAATGCTACCAAAGATGAGGTTAGTTTAAAAAATTAAAAATAGATGAATTTATAAGCAAACTATCATAATCAATACTTCTTTTAGAATAAATTATTGTTTTTTTTTCAAAATTGATTTCAATTAAATTTTATTTTCATAGAAAAGTTTTCGCAAATTTTGGCCTTTTTTTCTTTACCATCTGCTCCGGCTTCAATGCTAATGTCATCAATATATGTGAATGGTTTCCGGGTGATATAAACAGGTCGCAGTATTCCAGCATAATTAAAGAAATCGAAATTCCATGTTTGTTTAAAAAATCTGGAAATGATGACAATAGAATGTCAGAATTTACTTTATTCAGATTTAAATGTTAAATTTTATGTTTTCATGAATGGAATTAAAGGTTGTAAGAGTTAAAAATGATATTATTGTTTATTTTATTTTAAATTTACTTTACCATATTCATCTTATAAATTTCCTATATATGTATGGATTTATATCATAAATTTTTATTGAATTCCATAAAAATGTTACTTCTAAAATAACGAACCCTTCGGAATATTGTTTAATTTCACCACGTTGTATTTGGATATACCGAAATTCACCGGGTGGTATTGTCTTTGAGGTCATTGTATTGTTCACCGCTACAGTAAGACGATTTTCATTGTCAAACAAAATGTGATTTGTGATATCGATTTCGAACGGTAGATGACCACCCACATGAATGCCAATAATTCTGTTGTTTATGAACTAAATCTTCAAATCTATTTACTTTGTTGAAAAAAAAAAAAAAAAAGTGGATTCAAAATTTTTGATTCTAAAATAAATCAGATAAACAGATATGTATATGTCATTTATGCAAAATTATTTCTTACTACTTAATCGATAACCTTATTATCCGAGTCATTTATGAAATAAATTATTTTAAGAGCTAGTATTTGCAGGCAATTTATAAAAGTGGAAATAATGCTAAACAATGCATCGCAACGGATAACCAATATCTGGAGATGATAAAAAACATTAATGTAAATTAATGAACTTACGACGACAGCGTAATATTGTACACTTGAGAAGCGGACAAAGTGCCGATAAGGTTTATCACGTACGCTGAGGAAAAATTTACGTTGATACCAAACCCATCCAACATGATCACGTACTTCACGATCTGCTGTTAGCTCATTAAAAGCTGCCGGAACCGGCATCACAGTCGCATTCTGAAAGTCTACCAAAGTTAGGTCTGTTAAAATTAGAACGGGTAATAGATTTGTTAGTTGAAATAACCAATATTTCATTAATTCAAATAACGGAAAAATTTATCAATAAAAAAATTAAAATAATAAAAATTATTAGACTGATAGTAATACCTCGAATTGTGACAAATCGTATAAATGCCATTTACGTGTTATACCTACGGAAGGTGAATTCATTTCCTCTCTTACAAATGTCCATAAACCATCTAATTGATCGTAGAATCGTCGCTCATTTCTCTATAAATCACCAATAATTTATTACTTAATTTATTAATTAATTCAAACCAAACTTACTTTTTTGCTTCATTGTTACCTAAACAAATTACAATTACTTGCAGTAAAAGTAGAATTTTATTTATGTAAAATATTTTTAATTTTTATTTTTACTTTGCTTAATGTAATTAATATCTTAAATGGAATAATTTCATAGAAATTAAATAATTTATTTTAAAAATATAATCCTTCAAATATTTTATCTAGTAATGAATAAAGAATACTTGGTAAAATTTTTATTATCACCTAATTAAACGTATATCCATGGATTATATATCATATGTACATACTTAATGTGACGATATACCTGTACTTGTAGTATTGAGCAAACTGTAGGAATTACTATTGATAATAGCAGCAGAAACATTTCTAAAATTTGGCTAACATTTTTATAAAGGTAAAAAAAAAAAAGGTAGGCATCAAACAACGCTTGATAAATTAATGATTTTTACTACAAAACTATTTCCTATCATTAAAAAAGTTACGGTTAAGTTAATTACCAAACAGTAACACAATGAAACGATACCAACAGAAGTATCAAATTTAGAAGATTGCGAACGATCAGGTTATGTTGTACATAATTTGTTATCACTGAAAAAGTTACAATTAATTTACAACCAAAAAGTTATGAGAGGGTAATGAACTATGCAGAAAATTTTAGTGATTGCCAGAGATATCACTATTATCATTATCATCTTATTGAAACTGATAAACAAAAAATGATATAAATCTTTCTATCATCCAATATAAATTAATGAATTTAGTTAATTATGTAACCTAGTAGTTAAGGAGGACCACTTTTGCAAGATTGATAGAATTGGAGTAATCAGCTAAGTTTTTTTCACAATTAAAATCATTTTTTTTTTTTTTTTTTTTGGTATTGCAAGATAACCTGAGGAATATTTTGCGACATAAATTTGGATGCTGAATATTGATGCATCACTTATTTCGTTGTTCAATTCAATCGATAACTTATAAAAATATGAATCAAAATTATTTCAGTAATTTGGATGAATATAAATGTCATTTTTAAACCATTTTGACATTTTAACATTTTCATTTAAAATTTTTTTTTCGTTTTAAATCAAATTTTCTTTTCAAATTATTAAAACAATGAAATATTTTTGTTGCATTTCTACTTCTTCATTTATTTGTGCTTTCAGAAAAAAAAAATAAAGTTTTCATTTCGGCGAAACGAATAAAATGGATGTATTTTTACAGTAAATGAAAAAAATGTTAAAAAATAAAAGAAATGAAAAGTTGATTTTTTCTAAGTCATTTAGTAATACGAATTTAATCACATTTTAACAGAATATGCAATTCATTCATTTATCAAATAAATAATACCAATAGATAGATATAAAATTAAGCAATATGGCTAAGAAACACTTCGGAATTCTCGTTTTTTTTTTTTTTCAAAATAATATTACTTAAACTGGTGATAACATTTTCCTATTTATTCCTATGCAACTTTTATCCTTGATAGATTAATTAGTCAATTGTTTGTTCGATACAAAAACCTTTTGATCGTTAGAAATGCTTAAAGATTTCAAATTTATCAAATTCGAAAAGTAAACTTATGGACAAAGATATTATCAACAAAAGGCAAAATATATGATAATATGAAAATTTCAAAATTATTCACATTATTTTAAATGTATTTTACAGGAAATTATTATAAAAGCATTCAATACAATCAACTATTTGGTTGTACAGTAGAAGGCATATCCAATAATTGTATTCATTTATAATCATTTCTGAAAAAAGATATTTGAAATAATGTGAATAATTGTTTTAACATTTCAATAAAAATATAATATTTTTACAGAAATGAAGTAAAAATTACCTAATTTTAATGTATTCAAAAGCGCTAACAAACCTTTGTTAAATTGTATGTGTGATAATCCGAAAAATGAATTAAATTTCTTAAAAATTGAATTTCTTCATTTTTGATTTTAATGAAACATATAATACTGCACATGTTTTTTAATTCAACAAACAAATTTTCTTAAAATGGGAGTGTTATTTATGCTAAATTTTTAAGTTTTGAAATGCATGTATTAGGATGTATTACGAAGCTAAACACAAATAAAAGCAATCAGAATGGATCTTGATCACAAAGTTGAACACAGATGTAATCAATCAGAATGAATCGTGATCACAAAGTTGAACACAGATGTAATCAATCAGAATGAATCTTGATCACAAAGTTGAACACAGATGTAATCAATCAGAATGGATCTTGTTCTCAAAGTTTGAACATAAATGCAATCAATCAGAATGGATCTTGTTCTCAAAGTTTGAAC